TGCTGTTCTTTTGAACGTCAGTATTCAGCAAAGAATACTGAAAAAAAAATTTATCACGGTTTTCACATAAATATTAAGCTGCACAACCATTTTCAACATTGATATTAATAATGTTTCTTGAGCAGCAAATCAGCATATTAGAATGATTTCTGAAGGATCATGTGACACTGAAGGCTGGAGGAATGGCCGCTAAAAATTCAGCTTTGATCACAGGAATGACATTTTAAAATACATAAAAATAGATTAGTTATTGTAAAAATTGTAACAATATTTCACAACATTCCTGCTTTTACTGTATTTTTGATCAAATAAATGCAGCCTTAGTGAGCATGAGAGACTTATTTACAAACATAAAAAAAAACAAAATCTTACCAACCCCGAACATTAGTGTGTATTTCAGATAATTAGTTCCACTGACTATGGCAAAATCCTAAGCCCTCTTAGCAGATCGAATTCCCTTCTATCTGTTGAAATGGTCTTTCAGCTGACTTTGCCTATATAATGGCAATTCAGGACATTGAAATTCTACTCATGACCAGTGTTCCTTTCTATAAAGCATTCCAGTTACTTTGTTCTATTCCCAGTGAATGTTAAGTATTAGAAGTGCAAAAGTAAGGCCTACACAGGCACTTTTTAAAAGAGCTGGCTTTTTTAGCTTAGAGATGAATGTCATGTATTGATTTTCAGACTTCTTGGGATACAAAAACACCAGCTAAGTGACATAAAACAATAACCAACCTACCTTATTGGCAATGACTGATGAAATCCTGCTCTCTCCTTTGTATGTATAAACCAAGACATTCTCGTGACCCTTGAGAGATCTGGCCTCTGCTTTTGACGTGATAGACCTCTGTACAGCAGAATTCAACATCTTGATACCAGAATCCAAATGAACTGCCTGAAGAGTTGCCTTTACATCTTCACAGTAGACTGCAATGACAAACGGACAGGCCTGGGAGAAAAAAGAAAAATGTACACACACATTAGCTCAGCATGTTCTGATTACACTGGCTACAAGTTAGTTACACAAAAAATAAAGGACATTTTCCCTAAACCCAGGCAAAAACATCTTCAGTTTATATTAGTTGGAATTACAAGACATTCTCATGAGTAAATCTCAAAGACCTTTGTACCTCCACCATCTCTAAACTGCGGTTGTAGCCCATGGCCTCCAGGGTGAGCCACAAATCTCTGGGGTCACCTTCCCGATCATTCGCTTCCATCAGGTTGAGCTCCAGGAAGCCTTGTCTAGTTAACTCATTTTTCCTTGTGTCAAAGTTCTCTACAGGAGACCAAATACTGTTATAGAAATGCATATTATTAGACAAGATTGGACATTTCTTGTTTAAGATCTGGAAGCAAGAAAAAAAAAAAAAAGGCCTATTATTACCTAATTTGATGGAGCGGAGTTCAAACTTAACTTTTTTTTTTTTTTTTTTACAAAATAGGAATGAAGAAGGAATCTATCAGTTTTAATGCATTTATCAAAATAACAAAAATAGTAAAATGTCAAAAGTTTCAGATTTAATGACAAAAATAATTTTTCAAAATGTATCATTTAAGTTACATTTTGCAGAAGTGGAAAAATATGTTCAAATAAACCATTTAAATGAATGTCAAACAACTTTACATAAGCACAAGGTTATAAATAAATATGCTTTTTTGCTGTAGCTGTTTGGACGTAGTTAAACTCCCACAGATGTAGCAGAAAACATCTGGGTCATGTTTGTATTTTCTTCTGTCACTAGCCTTAATTCTAACCTTGAAATCAGGATTAAGCTTAAAATAATGTCATACATGTGAAAAGCGTTTGAGAATTGAACAAATAGTTGAAACCTGGCAAGAGGATAGATAGGTATCATGTCTTTGTGGCAGTTTTTCTGGTGATTAAGGGATAATACAAGACTTCTTTACCTTACAAATGATTGTCAAAAGCAAAAATGCTAGAAAATGCACATCATACTTTGTTAGAAAGTGTGACATGCTAGAGCAAAACGGGGACTATTTTTGGAATTAGCACTCCAAAATTAGTAAGAAACCAGTATTGGATTTCATTCAGCAAATATGTTGTAGAGCGCTGTTATGTGTCTGTTTCATTTACAGTGTGTTTGTATAAGGACCTTTGCAGATGGCCCAAGCATCCTCATCACATTTCTCTCCACTGGTTCTCTGTTCAAAGAAGTTGTACTCCTCTAGGCTCAGCAGACCACTGCCATCCAAATCAATCACTTCAAAGATGTCAGACAATGCCGCCCTGTGGAACAAAACAGTACAGCATCTTTGCACAAATTCATTATTACATTCTCATAGATAACCTAAAATAAGTAATCAAACATTTATTCAGTCCTCTACCTTAACTCACTATAAATATGTTCGTTTTTAAGATTAGAATTGACTAACTGGAACTCTTTGGTTAGCTCCAGCTCTCCCGACTGGGTGCGGTTGACTAGCTGAGCAGTTTTAGTGGCGGTCTTCCTTGTCCTCTTCATCAGTCTGCAGCCAGTAGTAAAGGGCAAGAGCAGATATGAGCCGGCATTGAGCTCTCCTCTCCACAGAAACCTCTGTTCATCGATCACACAGGACAAACATCTTACTTACTGTTGTAAAATGTAATTGCCTTGATGCAGTTCTCAGTTTAGTATTTTTAGATTTTCAGTATACATTGCATATACTAATATATACTTATATTTCACACACACACACGCACACACACACACACACACACACACACATATATATATATATATACAGTGGTGTGAAATAGATTTGTATTTGTTGTATATTTCTTTGTAAAATGAGGAAGGTTATTCTATAAAATTACATTTGTGTCCCTCATATTGAATTAATGTAAAAAAAAAAGGCTTCAACAATGAATAGCTGATGCAGACTTTTACTATATGTAAATATATATATTACAGTCGATTCAGGCATTTTTTCTAAACACATCAGAGAGAAAGAGAGCCTTTTGTCTTTATTCTCTTTACATTTATTTTTCGATGTTTGCTGACATAATGTAATATTAACAAGTTATAGTTATCAGTTGTGTACCCAAGTAACGCATTCAGGAAGAACAAGTCTTCTCTTTTTAATCACTTTAGCATCAGCATTAAAATCAACCTTGGTACCTTTCTGAAGTCATAATTATATCTACACACCCATTAAAATGTATTCACTTAGCTTGAGATGGAATGGTTTATTAACACTTACACAAATTATTTGTTTGATAGAATAATTATATAATATAATATATATTATATTATAATATTTATAAATATAAAAAAGATAAAATTTGTATATTTCCATATCAAAATGGAAAAGGCACTTGTGTCAGATGACGACTCTTATATCATTGCTGAAGAGAATATGTCAACATACTTTACATACAAGAAGGCATTATAATTCAATAATATATATACTATCATATTTAGATGCATTATATGTACTATCATATTTAGATGAAAGTGATGCATTTACCAACCTCCTTATCCCTTAACTCAGTAAAGCAAACCAAATTCGAATCTTCTTTGGTCTCATTCCCCATCACCACATAGAGAGCTGAGTCCACACACATCCACGGTGAAGGCTTATCTGTGGCATAAACATATAGTCAAAAATACTACTACAAAATTCGCTAATCTGCTTAATTGGATACTTTAAATAACTCAAAATCTGTAACTTCAGTAACGTTGGTCTTTAACACCATGTACAATATATTTACCAGGAATTGGGCTAAGGTTGAGGGGACGTATGGTCAGGTAGACGCTGGTAGTCTCTGGTATAATCAGGCGATACTGAAGTGAAACAATCGTTCCATCTTCCTCCAGATAAAAACAACCTCTCATAAGAGTGTGATGCCAATCCTGGGGAAATACGTGTTAAAGGGGTCATATGATGCTGCTAAAAAGAACATTATTTTGTGTATTTGGTGTAATGAAATTTGTTTATGCGGTTTAAAGTAAAAAAAACACATTATTTTCCACATACTGTACATTATTGTTTCTCCTCTATGCGACACAGTAGAAACATCACAAACCATGCTGGAAAAAACAAACAAACAAACAAAAAAACCGGCAAACAACAGCAGTATCATAATTCCAGCAAGAAATGTTCTTGGAGGAAGTTGAAGATGCAACCACAGGGTGGCGCTATTGTAACATCTTTGCTAAAACAAAGGCAATCAAAAAACAAAGGCAATCAAAGACCTGGGTGGAACAAAACAGTCAAATATTTATTTTTGTATGTAAATGATAAGTTAATAAGCCTAAATGTCAATACAGACCATTGAAATTCATATTATACGCATTAATAATGTAATTAAAAGTAAAAAGGCCTGAGGAAACCCATAAATTCTTGTCTAAACAAAGCCTTTTTGCTCTTTTAACTGCTGTTGTTTAGGTCCAGCTAAAATGTTATAGCAAATATACTCTAAATCATCAAGTAATCAAAAAATCTGAGTCAAACAGCCTCCTTTCTGACCCATCAGAGAGTAGTTTTGGGAAATAAACCTTGTCCTCAGGTGCCACAGAGGCCTTTTAATGTTTAGAATTGGTTTATGCTTCTTTTCCGAGTGCTAAAAACATGTTCCCGAAATGACACTTCTTCAACAAAAGCAATTTCCTCCCAGAATTTATGCTGGGTTGTGAAACGTGTTAAGGATCAAATCATAACACTTGGGTGGTTTGTCCACTCCGAATCAAAATGAAGAAAAGCGCCCGAGGCAAGTGTCTACTTTAAAAGGCCCTGATGTAGTGTCCCAAGGAGATGGGTCACTCGGCTGGACTAATACACTGCCCTGTCACCTCCCAGAAACCTTTGTAATTTAAAGTCTCGCACACAGACCGCGAGCCACCATAAAACACACAACCTGACCCTTTCCAATCCCTACACCCAATTATCAAGCTCCTGGCTCTGGTAATACTACATGCTGGAACTGAGGCGATAGAACTTTCTTCACCCAGGAGCATCTAGTTTTTTTCCAATCTCTTTGCTTTGACGAGTTTGGTCATTATTTTTCTGTGACAAAGCAAACCAGCTGAGGTTAAAGTCAAAAAGAGTGCAAACAAAGGGAAGGAGATCAATAGCAGAGCTGCACTCATATCGACCAGGTGAAAATTTGCTACCAAAAGGCTTTGATACTACAAAAACACAGCAAATGTATAGCTGCCCTTAAGGCACTTCAGTTTAGATAAAGTTTAGTATGTAGGCAAAATGGAAGTTCCAAGATTGTTTGTAACAATTTATTCCCAAATAGCTCATTCCATAATTACTCAGCCTTAATTTATGTATGCATGTATGTATTTATTTAAATATATTTTAGAAATTTTAGGTTGACTTTTTAGGAATGGGCCAGTTTAGGAATGGGCCAGGGACAACAGACGGAAATTAGCCTATAATGCGAACTTTGACTCATTTGTAGTTGTTTAAAGGGTTAGTTCACCCAAAAATGAAAATTAGCCTGTGTTTTACTCACCCTAAAAGCATCCTAGGTGTATGTGACTTTCTTCTTTCAGACGAATCCAATCGGAGCTATATAAAAAATTGTCCTGGCGCC